TCTTTTTGGGGGTCAAGTTTTTGACACCTTGCTAGGCGACTGCCATATCCTAAAAGTGGTACAATGGGTGAAAAGATTGAAAAGCCCTGGTTTAGTGAATGTTCAAAGTTAACACAGCACTGGAAAAAAAGCCATTTTTCACACTTAGGACCGTCACAGCATTCCCCGCGGTCACGTGATCAAAATTCAGATGCTTGGCAACTGACTCATACTTATGACCATTGCACGGGATCACGTAATTCCGTTTGGTGACCTTCGGACAAGCAAAATCAATGGGGGAAGCCAGATACACTTAACCATGTTATTAACTTAATGACCGATTCGCAAGAAAGGTAGTAAAATGGGGCAAAATTCACTTAGCAACGGTCTTGATTAGCAGAAGAAATTTTGGGGTCAATTGTGGTCGTAGACTGAGGATTACCTGTAGGTGGGGAAACAAACCGAGTGGTCTCTGTTGCAATTGAGAGATGGACGTTTTGTCCCTGCATAAATTTTCTATGTGCCATGCGAGATTTTTTTTTGTCAATCACCACCGGGGCACCACAGCTGGATTATGCCATTACTTTTTACCATCAATTCTCAGGAATCTATGATTTGTAAATTGTGTTTTGCATGAATTGGTCCTTGGTCTGTGGGGTCCCTGGTGTTCTCTGAGCGTGGCAGTTTTCTTGCAGACGTTTCATGACCCAACTAGGTAACATCATCAGTGCTAGAAGGGAGGAGAGTTTTTGGAGAAGAAATGAGGAGGAGGAGGGGGGGCAGGAGGAGGAGGAGGAGGAGGACTGTGGGGTCCTTAGTGCTCTCTGAGCTTGGTGGTTTTCTTGCAGACATTTCATTACCCAACTAGGTAACATCATGAGTGCTAGAAAGGAGGAGAGTTTGTGGAGAAGAGAGGATGAGGAGGAGAAGAGAGAGAGAGAGACAGAGAGAGAGAGAGACAGAAAGAGAAAGGACACACACACAGAGAGAGACAGAGAGAGACAGAAAGAGAAAAGGAGACAGAAAGAGAGAGAGAGAGAGAGAGAGAGAGACAGAGAGACAGAGAGAGAGAGAGAGAGAGAGAGAGAGAGAGAGAGAGAGAGCGCAACAGATAGAGAAAGATAAATAGATAGAGAGAGAGAGAGAGATGGAGAAACAGAGAAAAAGAAAGAGACATAGATGGAGAGAGACAGACATAGACAGAGAAAGAGAAATAGATAAAGAGACAGAGAGAGACACAGAGAGAAAGAGAAATAGATAAAGAGATGGAGAAAGAGGGAAAAGAAAGAGACAGAGATGGAGAGAGACAGAGACAGACATAGACAGAGAAAGAGAGAGAGAGAAAGAGAGAGAGAGAGAGAGAGAGAGAAAGAGAGAGAGACAGACAGAAACACATACAGAGAGAGAAACAGACAAAAAGACAGAGAGACAGAAAGAGAGAGACAGAGAAAGAGACAGAGAGAAAGATGGAGAAACAGAGAAAAAGAAAGAGACATGGATGGAGAGAGACAGAGAGAGACAGACAGACAGACAGAGAAAGAGAAATAGATAAAGAGACAGAGAGAGACAGAGAGAGAAATAGAAATAGATAAAGAGACAGAGATGGAGAAAGAGGGAAAAGAAAGAGACATAGATTGAGAGAGACAGACAGACAGACACACACACACACACACACACAGAGAGAGAGAGAGAGAGAGAGAGAGAGAGAGAGAGAGAGAGAGAGAGAGAGAGAGAGAGAGAGAGAGAGAGAGAGATTGGCCCTAGGTCACCCAGCTGGCTTTCATGCCTAAGGCAGGACTAGAACTCACCGTCTCCTGGTTTCTAGCCTTAACTGCTAGACCAAACCTAACAATCTTTCCTGTCTAATGCTGGCTACCTTTTTTGCCCTATTTTATCACAAACAGCAATTGTGGGTAAGAAGTCCAACCATGGGACAAGTCATTTGTTTGAGCAACAGAGGAAGTAGAGAGAGATAAAAGACACACAGAGGAGTATAACACAAGCCATGCAAGAAAAAAAAATCACACCAACACTGGGAAAGGTCTGCTACAAACCATGGAATTCCACACCAATGTCCTTTCATCTGTGCCAGTACTGATCCTTTCGTTGGCTTCTTCGAAGTTTGGAGATTTTTTCTAGTTCTCTAAAAGATCCTTTTAGAGGTTTGATTACTAGATTCTCTTCGAAAAAGACATCTGGTGTTTATGAATCTACGCAGGAAGATTCTGCCGGCTAAAGATTGAGATGTTTACCTGGCCAAGGAAGGACCCTCATCCCACAAATATAGAATAGAACAGGGGTCTTCAAACTTGGCAACTTTAAGACTTGTGGACTTCAACTCCCAGAATTCCTCAGCCAGGAATTGCCAAGTTTGAAGACCCCTGGAATAGAATAACAGAGTTGGAAGGGACCTTGGAGGTCTTCTAGTCCAATCCGCTGCTCAGGCAGGAAACCCTATACCATTTCAGACAAATGGCTGTCCAATCTCCAGTGTTGGAGCATTCACCGCTTCTGGAGGCAGGTTGTTCCATTGGTTAATTGTTCTAACTGTCAGGAAGTTTCTCCTTAGTTCTAGGTTGCTTGTCTCTTTGATGAGTTTCCATCCGTTGCTTCTTGTCCTGCCTTCTGGTGCTTTGGAGAACAGGTGAACCCCCCTCTTCTTTGTGGCAACCCCTGAGATATTGGAACACTGCTATCATGTCACCCCTTTGTCTTTCTCTTCATTAAACTAGACCAGGGGTAGGCAACCCAAAACACTCAAAGAGCCACTTGGACCCGTTTCCCACCGAAAACAGGTTTGCTATGCCATAAAATCAGAATAACAGAGTTGGGAGGGAACTTAGAGGTCTTCTAGTCCAACCCCCTGCTCAAGCAGGTGACCCTATACTATTTCCAACTAATAGTTGTCCAGTCTCTTCTTAAAAACCTCCAAATGTTGGAGCATTCACTGCTTCTGGAGGCAGGTTGTTCCACTGATTAATTGTTCTAATTGTCAGGAAGTTTCTCCTTAATTCTAGGTTGCTTTTCTCTTTGGTTAGTTTCCATCCATTGCTTCTTGTCCTGCTTTCAGGTGCTTTGGAGAATAGCTTGACTCCCTCTTCTTTGGGGCAGCCCCTGAGATATTGGAAGACTGCTATCATGTCCCCCCTCGTCCTTCTCTTCATTAAACTAGACATACCCAATTCCTGCAATCGTTCCTTGTATATTTTAGCCTCCAGTCCCCTGATCATCCTTGTTGCTCTTCTCTGCACCCTTTCTAGAATCTCAACATCTTTTTTACATCGTGGTGACCAAAACTGGATGTAGTTTTGGCTTAATGTTCTGAAACTGGAAAGGATTACATATGGTCCTCAACTTATGACCATAATTGAGCCTCACATCTTTCTTGTGAAGCAAGGTGGTTGTTAAGTGAGTTTTACCCCATTTTACAACCTTGCTTGCCACTGTTGTTCAATGAATCACTGCAGTTGTTTAAGTTAGGAACATGGTTGTTAAATGAATATGGCCTCCCCTCCACTGAGTTTGCTTGTCCGAAGGTCGCAAAAGGGGATCACGTGACTCCGGGACATCGCAACCGTCGTCAATATGAGTCAGTTGCCAAGCGTTCAAATTTTGATCCTGTGACCATGGGGAGGCTGCAATGGTTGTTCAGTGTGAAAAATGGTCTTAAGTCACTTTTTTCAGTGCTGTTGTAACTTTGAACAGTCACTAAGCGAATTGTGCTAAGTCAATTACTACCTGTAGTGAATAGTGGCTTTTGCTTGTTAGAAGGTTGCAAAATATGACTCGGGGACATCGCAACCGTCATAAATATGAATCAGTTGCCAAGCGCCCAAATTTTGATCATGTGATCATGGGGATGCTGCAATGGTCATGAAGTATGAAAAATGGTCGTAGTTATCCCAAAAATGCTTTTTCAAGAGGCAACTAAACTCCCTTTTTTTTTTTGAAGACGTTTCGCTTCTCATCCCAAGAAGCTTCTTCAGCTCTGACTGGATGGTGGGGAATGGAAGGATTTATACTCCTTGCAGACAGCTGGTCATTTGCATCCTTTTAGAGCAGGCATGTCAAACTCACGACGTCACGTGACATCGCGCAACGTATCGGGCCGGTTTTGCGCGGCTTCCATGTGACACGTCCGGCCTGCGGGCCGGCAGTTTGACACCCCTGTTTTAGAGAGTCTGTCAACACTGCTCACATCGGCTGTTTTTGCATTGACAACAGATGGAAATGTAGTCATCTTTTACCTTTGGCTTTTAGAGTTAGATGATGCTGGGAGAAGGGGGGATGTGAACAAGAGTCCAGCTAGACATAACAACACTAAACCTAGTGTGAGAATCAAGGTTATTGAGCCCAGAACTGGTAAAGAATTGGCGGGCTGGAAAACTGGAGAGGAAGCCCGTGCTTCAAGTTAATTGGGGAATGTGATTTATGAGGAGGGAATTGTGCTTTGATACTATGTGCTCAGGGGAGGGGAATTCAGTTTTTGGCTTTGATTATGCAGTGCCGATATTATGCTCCTCAAATAAAAGATTCTTTAAGGTAAACAATGCCTCGAAGTTCTTTTGAAGAGCTTCATCTGTCGGAACCAGGACAGATTCATTGAGGCTACCTGGAGGCTTATCTGTGTCCTCAGGGTCACCTGAGTGGTGGAAACGGGTGTGAAGCCTTCTTGGAACTGCGAAAAGGGAGTGTATTGTAGACTGAAGATAGATGATGTTGTGTCCCTCCCCCTCTGTTGAGAGAGGGCTGTTCAATTTGGACCCAGATGGTCTCTTTGAACGTCTTCAAAGAAAAACAAGAAAATCCAGGTGCCTCTTGAAAAAGCACTTTTGGGACAACCCACAGAGAATCTCCATAGAGATCGGTTCATAAGTTGTTACAGGTAGTGCTCGACTTTCCAACCACGACCAGAATTTCCAGTGTGAAAACCGGTCGTAAGTCCCTTTTTTAAAATTCCGTAGTAGCTTCGAACGGTCTCTAAACGAACAGTTGTATGTCAAGGACAAACCTATCCTGCCTTACTCTACGATGTCGGTGTACCGAAGATCACCTACAGCAGGGGTGTCAAACTCAATTTCATTGAGGGCCACATCAGCATTGTGGTTACCCTCGGGGGGCCCGGTGGGTGTGGCCATGGTGGGTGAGGCCTACTGGGTGGGCATGGATGGAGTGGGTGTGGCCTATGGGTGGGCATGGCCAGCTCTACATCGTTCGCGTCAAGGGTGCCTGTGGGGGCCTGGGCAGGAGTGGGACAGATCTGAGAGTCTCTGGCAGAAGGGGGTGGGACCGGGGCAAGCGCCAAGGCATGGTCCATTTCTTCATTCCGCACAAAGGGTGACACCTCCCCAGCATGCACCCACGAGGCTGACACGGCAGGGGCCGGTCCCTTGCTGTTTCCAGACGGCCTTGTGGAGCTAAGACTGAATGTGTTTCAGCATAGATGGCCACCACAAAATTGTACATTGGCTCCCGGCCGGCCTGGGCCAGGGCCAAGGCAGCGGGGGCCGTTCCCTCACTGTTTCCAGGATGGCTTTGTGGGCCACATGAAACCACTTCGCGGGCCGCATCCGGCCCCCGGGCCTTGTGTTTGACATGTCTGACCTACAGCTTTGACTTGTGTTTCTCTACCGCTTGTCTGGCCGAAAGGAAGGACATTGGAGGCCTGCGAAACCGAGGGCAGAATCGCAGCATGGAAAATGGGTGACACGCGGACGTGGAAAACCGAAGAATGTAAAAATAAAATAAAATAAAATAAAGGATGTGCATGCTTCAGTAATATCCAACCGATTCCATCGAGCATGCTCTGTCAACTCTCCACTCCACCCGGCTGACGGTTCCTTTTTGATCGGCTTTGCTTCCCCCACCCCAATTTTTTCCCCCTTACCGATGGTACAGTGCTCTCCGTTCCAGCCGGGGCTGCATTCGCACTTGCCGTCCCGACAGGTCCCGTGTTCGTTGCAGCGTGGGTGACAGGCTCGCTGGTCACAGGAGGCCCCCATCCAGCCCTCTTCGCAGCGGCAGCTGCCCCCGACACAGGTGCCGTGGACCCCACAGTCGGCCGCGCAGATCTCTGCGGAGGGGAGAGAAAAAAGGACGGGGGACAGGTGGAGGGGCAGTGGGGTAGAAAGAAAGGGGTCGGGAAGGGTGGGTGGGTGGGAGAAGAGAAAACCAGAAAGGCATTGTTATAAAAAAATAATAATAATAATAAAAAAAGCAAGCCACACTTCACTACGTTATCCTGATGGGAGAAATGAAAGGGATCTCTGCCGCTCGGAAGACTAATCCCCTTTTGACGTTAAGAATCTAATAAGCAGATTACAAAGAAGAGGGAAAAAGGAGATGGACATGGTTTGGTGGGATCCACTGGTGCATGAACCTCTTTTTGAAACTTTCTAATAGGATCACACACACACAAACACACACGCATAGCTGTGGCTTTTTTTGCCGACCGGGCTGAATCCAAAGGAGTAAAGGAACAAAAGTCACTTTTTAATTAAAAACTAGTTGAGTGTAAAGACAATCGGCCGCTAAATCGCTTGAAAATAAAGTTAAGTGTAGCTGGCAAAGTCTATTTGCAGTGGGTTATCGCTCTGGTTACGGATCTGGGGCCGTTGGGAACGTTACTTTTCCCCCCCCCTTTGTGGGCAGCATTGTGAACCTTCACAAAAGATGCTTTATTGGGCTCTGAAATGTTTGGGAGAGCTTTCAAATGTTGTGCTCTCTCTAGGATACACACAGGGCAGGCCTCCTACAGTACTGTGTGCCCTCTAAGAAAGCTGAAGTCAAAATGCACCAGCCAGACAGTGAGCTCTTGAAATGGTGACTTAGGAAATCCACAACAGTTTTTGTCTGTCCATCTGCCTGCCTGCCAACTCAAGGACCATGGATTCCTTCCTTCCTTCCTTCCTTCCTTCCTTCCTTCCTTCCTTCCTTCCTTCCTTCCTTCCTTCCTTCCTTCCTTCCTTCCTTCCTTCCTTCCTTCCCTTTCCTTTCTTTTTCTTCCTTCCTTCTCATCCACCCACCCATGCACACATCCATATCTATCTATCTATCTATCTATCTATCTATCTATCTATCTATCTATCTATCTATTTATCTATCTATCTACATCATCTCTCTTTGAATAGCTATTAAAACTTTCTTTTAACATAGCTCTCTCCGCCTATTATCCATCTCTGTCATCTATCTATCTATCTATCCATCCATCCATCCATCCATCCATCCATCCATCCATCCATCCATCCATCTATCTATCTATCTACCTACCTACCTACCTACCTACCTACCTAACTACCTACATCTATCTATCTATCTATCTATCTATCTATCTATCTATCTATCTATCTATCTATCTATCTATCTATCTATCTATCTATCTATCTATCTACCTACCTACCTACCTACCTACCTACATCTTTCTATCTATCTATCTATCTATCTATCTATCTATCTATCTATCTATCTATCTATCTATCTATCTATCTATCTATCTATCTATCTATCTATCTATCTATCATTTGTATCACCTATCTACTGGTATCTGTTCCTTCTAGCTGACGTTAATTGTTGGGGTTTATTGTTGATCTTATAACTCTTCTATATGTCAAGCCACTCAAAATCATTTGGAGTTGGGGGGGGAAGAGGATTAGAAATCTGAAAGACAAATAAATAAACATACGTATAAATAAAACAGGGAAATCTTGTGTGTCCTTTCTAGAATGCTTCAGGACTCCGAGGTCCCTCTCACAGTTCCTGTTTTCGAGCCAGGTCTCACCTAATCTGTACTTTGATTTTTCCTGCCTAAATGTAAAACTTTGCTTTCCTCCACGTTGAAACTCATTTTGTTGGATAGGGCCCATTGTTCAAGTTTGTCAAGATCTTTTTGGATCCTGAGCTTGTCTTCTGGGGCGTTGGCTATTCCTGCCAGCTTAGTGTCATCTGCAAATTTGATGAGTTCCCCTTCAATTCCCTCATCTAAGTCATTGATGAAGATATTGAAGAGCACTGGGCCTAAGACGGAGCCTTAAGAGAACTTTCAGATCCTCTTTCTTTACGTTCATGAATGCTGCTTTTCCGTTTGTCCTCATGGTGGACTTTAAATGGGAAAAAAACACCTCAATTTGCTCTTACAACTTTATTTTAAAGCTTTGTGAGAGGTTGAAGCCTAGGGACAATTATGTATTTTTCACACAGCACAAAAGCAATGTTTGAATATTGGCATTCTAAACTCCGTGCCTATAATTCGGAGGGGACGTTATTTTGAATGTAGACAGTTCCTCTGGATGCCTGTTCCTTCCTCGTAAATTAATGCACATGCTATTTCTTCACTCCTGTGTATGACAAATCACCCCGAGGTCACAAATCAAAACACAGCCTTTTTCCTGCTCTGCATTTGTTAACACTCACATCCCGGCTCGCTCTTTTTTTTTTTTTTTTTTGCAAGCAAGCAGCGCAAAATTACACCCAGCCCGTCGCTTTTCCGACTTCATCCTTCATGGAGCTACTTCTGATGTTAACATTATTATTGTTTTGTGCCTCGCGGCCAAAAGCCTCCGCTAAGGTGCTTGGTAAATGCTTGCTCATTTCTCCAAGTCAACTTCCAACTCCAAAAGATGGATTTGTGCGTTATTCAACTAAAAAGGTAAATTCTCCTTCGGGTCAAACTTGAGCGGGCAATGCTTGAATAATGTTTTTTGTTTTTTTTTGCAGCCATAGAGAAACGGGTTGGTCAGTTCCTTCTTTGGGATTTTTTTTTAAAACCTTCCTTTTTTTAAAATATAGAAAACTGAAGGCAAAAATGAACTATTGTTCCATCTTCCTTTTGAGTTTTTTAAATTAAATTTATTCTTAATTGCTTTCATTTTTATTGGACGGTGGACATGGGGTTTATCCCAAGCATGTTTTAAACTCAGTTATGGGTCGATCTCGGCTTAGGACCACAATGGAGCCCAAAAACCTATGTTGTTAAGTGAGATGTTTCTTAAATGAGTTTAGCCCCGTTTTACGACTTTTCTTTCCACATCTGTTAAGTGAATCAAGGCAGTTATTAAATTAGTAACACGGCTGTTAAGTGAATCCAGCTTTTCCCCCGTTGACTTTGCTGGTCAGAAGGTCGCAAAAGGGGATCACGTGACCCCGGGACACACTGCGACCGTCACAAATATGAGTCAGTTGCCAAGCGCCCAAATTTTGATCATGTGACCCCGGGGAGGCTGCAACGGTCGTAAGTGTGAAAAAATGATCATAAATCATTTCTTTCAGCGCTGTGGCAATCCATTTATGACCTTCACGGGGCTATCAAGCAAAGGAAAACTAAGTAAGATCATAAGCACAGTCGCAGTTGCACTTAGTGACGACCTAACGTCTAAATGGCTGGTCCAAACTGTAGTCGCTAAATGAGGACTACCTTTATTTAGCAACAGCAACAGCACTTAGACTTATATCACGCTTTACAGTGCTTTACAACCCTCTGTAAGTCAGCATGTTGCCCCCGACAATCTGGGTCCTCATTTTACCAACCTCGGAAGGATGGAAGGCTGAGTCAACCTTGAGCCGGTCAGGATCAAACTGCTGGCAGTTGACAGTCAGCAGAATTAGTCTGCAATACTGCATTCTAACCACTGCACCACCATGGCTCCTTCCTTCCTTCCTTCCTTCCTTCCTTCCTTCCTTCCTTCCATCCCCAATAGCACTTACACTTATATACCGCTTCATAGTGCTTTACAGCCCTCTCTAAGCATTTTACAATGTTATTATATTGCCCCCAAAATAATGTGAATCCTCATTTTACCGACCTCGGAAGGATGGAAGGCTGAGTCAACCTTGAGCCAGTCAGGATCGAACTCCTGGCAGTGGGCAGAGATTGCCTGCATTGTAACAACTGCACCACCAGGGCTCCTATTTAACAACTCCCTGAATGTTTTCTCCTTAGCAAAAGTTAAGAAAACACACCACCTGTCATTCCTATCTATTTCATCCCAAGCTTGGATCACAACAGACTTGCCTTGTAGGAACTCAGGAACAACGAGATCTAGAACAGAGGTCCCCAACCTCCAGGCAGAGGACCGGTACCGGGCTGCGGCATGCCAGCAACCGGTCCCCACAAACAAGCAAAGCCCCATCCGCGGGATGCAGGCGCACACAAAATCACGCACCTTCCTGTCCACGGAAAAACCTGTCATGCCTCAGTCTGAGCCTGAATCTGCGGAGGAAAATGAGCTGGAACGGGACCCTATGGAGGCGGAGGGAGAGGGGTCTGTGGCTTCAGTGGGGAAGAGCAGGCTGAGGCAGGCCAGGGCCCTTCAGGACTGGGACAGGAGGAACAGGAGAGGCAGAGTTCAGGCGATGAGCAAGGGCCACCCTCTCCTGATCCTAGAGCAGGGCTTTTCAACCTTTTCACGCATTGTACCACTTTTAGGATATGGCAACATACGAGTACCACCAGTCGTCTAGCAAGGTGTCAAAAACTTGATGACCAAAAAAAAAAAAAAGGAAAAAAGTACAGGTAGTCCTTGACTTACAACAGTTCGCTTAGTGACTGTTCGAAGTTACAATGGCACTGGAAAAAGTGCCCCCCAAGCCACAGCCGAGCAAGACACCTGCCTGCCCACCCAGCGGCGCTCTTCCTCCTGTCCGAGGTTTTCATGGTTGTGAGCATTTCTGTTGAGGATTGGCAACGGGGGTGGGGTGGGGGGTGTTTGGTTTTTATTCCCCCCGTCTGCTGGGTGGTTGCAGCAGGTTTTGGTCAATTCACATGACCCTGGGACACTGTGACTGTCATAAATATGAATCAGTTGCCAAGCATCTGAATGTAAATCACAAGACCCTGGAGATGCTGCAACATTCCAGCTGATCGGCGCTTCTTCTGGGCTCAACAGAAGCACCAGGATCAGTGCTGCTTTCCAGCTGATTGGTGCTTCTTCAGGGCTCAGCAGAAGCACCAGGATCAGCACCGAGCTCCGGCTGGAGCCTGGCGCTGATCCTGGCGCTTCCGCTGAGCCCTGACAGCCCTGCAGCTCCAGCCGTCTCTCGCTCAGGCTTGTGTGGTGCTGCCACCGGTTCAGCTCATTCCCCTCCCCTGCTACCACTTTTCTAGGATGGTCGCGTACCACCTGCCAGGTGCCAATGTACCACAGGTGGTCCCCGTACCACTGGTTGAAAAGCCCTGTCCTAGAGCACGGAGAGTGGAGAGAAGGAGGGAACAATGCAGGCAGGCTCAACTACTCGGGAGGAGAGCGTCCCACCCTTCTCCACAAGGAACACCTGGAGACTGAGATTTAAGGAGACGCTGTGGGGAGAGGCATTTGTCGGGAACAAAGGCTGATTCCTTGGAATGTTGTGTATTGTTGCTGATCTCTTGTTCTGCTTGGAAACCTGGAAACTCGGACTATTGGATTGACTGACCACGTTACTTGAATGTTTAAAGACCTCGGACTGTATTTCGGATTCTCTCTTTTGAACACTGCTCAGGCAAGCTAGGATTCAAACAGACTCCTTAAGTTTATGTTTTCTTCCTTGTTATCTCTATGGCCTTGAGTACTTTCTTATGCTAATCAAACTGTATTTGAACCTGCTTTCAGCCAGAGTCGGCTGAAGGGGCGTGTATGTGTGTTCTTTTGTTGGAGGCTTGCCAGCAAATGTGGGAGCATTTGGGGAAAATTTGGAGCAACAAAAGAACTTGTTTGAATTGCCAGCTGATTGCATTGCCTCTGTGCTGTGCCCTGGGTCATCACAAAACCTCTCTCCAAGGAACCGGTCCCTGGTGCCCAAACGGTTGGGGACCTCTGATCTAGAAGACCACCGATTGTCCTTCTACAACCAGACCGACATGTAAAGGTTCAGCCAAAGTAAATTCACAGGTGCAATTACCAGTGGAGCAGTCGTGCCCAGTCCAGTTGGGATCACAGGTGCAAAGTCCAGTGTCGGACAGAAAAGTTCCGTGGCCCGAACACTGATCCAGACAAGTGGCCCTCGGGGTCTCACAGTTGGCCCCTCCCCAGCCCACGGAGCAGTGGCATTCTCCTCTCACGCACACGCCGCGTCCTGAGCAGGTGGGATCCATGCAGTCCACTGCAAAACAAGGAAGAGAAAAAAAATGCAAATGTGATACATCCCGGTATCGAATTTGGCATTATTAACCCCTGGATTTCGTCCACTGCAAGAGGCTGAGGAAACGGCCTTGGGGGAAACAGAAGGAAAAGAGAGAGACGCTAAGACAGCAATCAGATACAAGGAAGCCGAGTCTTGAACTGGAATGTAACGTGAGTAAGCTCCTCCTTCGTTCATTGCAGGTAGTCCTCAGCTTACGACCACAAGTGAGCCCAAAATTTCCATTGCTAAGGCGAGACGGTTCTTAAGTGAGTTCTGCCCCATCTCGTGACCTTTCTTCCCATAGCTGTTAAGTGAATCGCTGCCGTTGTTAAGTTAGTAACATGGTTCTTAAGTGAAGCTGGCTTCCCCATTGACTTTGCTTGACAGAAGGTGGCAAAAGGGGATCACGTGACTTAGGGACAACGCAACTGTCATAAATATGAAGTATTCTATTCTATTTCTATTCCATTCCATATTCTATTCTATTCTATTCTATTCTATTCTATTCTATTCCATATTGTTTTCTATTCTATTCTGTTCTATTCTATATACTATATTCTATACTATTCTATATTCTATTCTGTTCTGTATATTCTATTCTATTCTATTCTATTCTATTCTATTCTATTCTATTCTATTCTATTCTATTCTATTCTATTCTATTCTACCCTATTCCATATTCTATTCTATTTCATATTCTATTCTATTCTATCCTATTCCATATTCTATTCTATTCTATTCTATTCTATTCTATTCTATTCTATTCTATTCTATTCTATTCTATTCTATTCTATTCTATTCCATATTCTTTTCTATTCTATATACTGTATTCTATTCTATTGTATACTATTCTATATTCTATTCTGTTCCGTGTAGTCTATTTTATTCTATTCTAGGTTAGGGAGGTGGTTCAGCTTCTGGAGAGTAGCCAAAGCTGGGCAGGTGCTCCCACTTGCTGCAACCCTCCTGAGAGTCGAAGTCCACACCTCTTAATGTCGCCAAGGTTGAGGGACACGGTGCAAGACATCCCATCTAAGGCAGAGCACCCTTTTTCAAAGCAGGCTTCCTTTTTTATCAGCCCAAATCATGTTAGGAGCCGTTTACCTTTCTGCAGACAGGCCGTCCAACCCTCTGGAGACGCACCTCTGTCTGCCTACATGCCTGCAGACGCATTATTCATGTGCCAACTCTTCGGCCTCTCTTAGGACCATCAGCAAGGCAAGAAGGCTGGCTTTATAAATCTCTGGCACTTTGCACGCGTGAAGGGGGAAGGCTTCCATTTGGAGCTTCCACCTCCCTTTCTCTCCCCCCTGCCACAATCAAGGAGCGCCCGTCCCTGAAGTGCTTAGTGCTTAGCAGATGGTTGTGGAGAACAAAGACTGCCGGATAAGTGACAAGGGGGCTGCCGTGGGGCCATTAATCATCCCCACCGAAGAAGGCCCACTCAGGGGGAAAGGTAGCAGTAAGGGGGTCTCCATCACAGAAGACAGAGCGGGCTGCTAGCTCAGCGTTAACCCGGGGCCGGAGGAGAGGGAGGGGAGGCGTGCGGGCGAGGACACGCCATTCATCATAAAGCCAGGGCCATTTTTCATGTCCAAACGAGCCCTTTCATGCCACGGCCTGCACAATGGCGGCTTTAATCTTGCCCTCACTGGCCCAGATTGCTCAGACGCTCTGCACCGTGGCTAGGGTTCTTTCTTTCTTTCAGTC